CATCATGTTCCTCAGATCCTCTATTTTTTTATCTGTGTCCTCTCTAGATTTATTAATCATGTCTTGCACCATGAGTAAAATCTTTGCTGTTATCTGAGTAATTATTTCTGATTTCACTTTTCCCATATCCTCTTTTGTTGCTAGTTCAGAGAGTCCAGGTGGTTGAGTATCAGAATGTTCCATCTTGTTTCCCTTTGGGGTTGCTGTAGGTGATCTGGAACTCTGTTTTTGAGGCTTGTTTAAGTGTTTTTTCATTTCCACGGGGGGAGGGTGTGTGCTTCTGGCGCCCCCGCGGCTGACCTCTGCCCTAGGAACTTGGGATGGCAGCGAGGGAGCTTCCTTCTGGGTTCTGGGACCGGCTCAGCTTTTCTGCCCTAGGAGCTTGGGATGACGGTGGGGGAGTTTCCTTTCGGGTGCTGGGACTGACTGAGCTTCTCTGCCCTAGGAGCCTGGGATGGAGGCGAGGAGCTTCTTTCCGGGTCTGTGAGTCAAGTGTTTGAACCCAAAGTGTATTTCCTCATAAAAAGGGTTTAATTTGTAGTACTTGGATTCTTTTTCAAACTTAGACCATATAAAGGGCTAACTCAGTAACCTCTATGTGTTTCTTTAGTGCATTGTGTTCTTCTTGGGAAGTGAGATAGATTCAGTCACAGTGAAAAAACCTTTCCAGATCTCTGGAGACATGGGCATCTACTACATGGTTGTCTGCCTCGTGGCCTTCACCATTGTCATGGTCCTCAACATCACCCGATTGTGTATGATGAGCAGCCACAGTTTGTGGAGGTTTCAGTCCATAATCAGCCCGGCTCCAAGGCAGGGATGGCTAACAGGGATGGCTAACAGGCATGGCAGAGCAGAAAAACTTCTGATTATATTTTAAAATCTTTTCAGTGTTTATTCTCAACTCAGTGAAGCTCTCTCTATGTTATCTAGGTTTTTATTAAATATTTATTTACAAATATATAATTGCCACAAAAAATATACTTGAGAGTATATACATTGAGAATTTAATGTACTCCAAAAGAGATAGAGTATAACTTTTGAGATCTGAAAAATGGTGGAATTTAATGGGTAGAGAGAGGTGAGTGGGGGGAGGTAGAGATTAATGGAAAAGACTTTGTGGAAAAAGGGAATACAACAGCTTGATGTATAGAGAGCTCAAAGAGTAGGACATGAGGAACAGGCCAGAAAATGTAGAGCCTTAGCATCATGTTAAGAAGATTGAGAACATTGGGAAACCATTCAGATTATTAAGCTATAGTGAAATGACTGTTTTTAAAAGATTCACATAACTTTGCTGTAGAAAACCAGAGGTAGTAAAAGCAAATGTACACGTGAATTGATTAGAAAGTAGGCCATTGCAGTAGTTCCTCCAGGGGATATTACTGCTTGGGTTAATAATGAGAAAAACAGACAAATAAGAGGAATATTTGGAAGGTGGTGATGATGGTTTTTTGATAGTAAGGCTGAGGGAAAAATTGATGCAAAAGATGGCTCCTGGGTTTCCGGGGCCTGCAGAGATACATGCATGGTAATGCTCCTTACTCAGAAAATGCTCCAAGAGTATCTTCTGGGTTGAAGGGGTACTAATGATTTTTGTTTGATACATTGTTTGAGGAGCTTTTGAAACATCCACATTAAATGGGTAGAGTGACTTGACCCCAGGGTATATGGGCTTGCAGCTTAGCATTCAGGGACAGAGATAGAATAACAGTTATTTTCATATAGAGAATCCAGAGAGAAAAGAGTATAGCTAAGAAGGGAGAAGGCCCACAGTTGAGTCTTGAGGAATTACTACATTTAATCACAAGATAAAGTACATTGTAGCTACAAAGAAAATTGGGAAAAAGTGGCCAAAGAAATGTGAATAAAATCTGGAAAGCTAAGAGGAGAGAGATCGAAGGAGAGAATGGTCAGTAATATTGAATGCTACTGAAAAGTGACAAGCAAAGTGAATGTGGAAATGTGGTTTTAGTAACATAGAAGTTTTTCTTGAATTTATTTAGTTTTGTTTTTTTGAGATAGGGCCTTGCCACATAGTTCAGGCTGGCCTTGAACTCACTATATAGCCCAGGCTAGTCTCAAACTTGCAGTGATCCTCCTGGAGCTTCCGAGTGCTGGGATTACAGGTGTGCACCACTATTCCTTGGCTTTTTCTTGATTTTAGTGAGAGTATTTTCTTTTGTAATGAACAGAAACCACATTGGAATGAGTTGAGGAGTAAATGGAAGGCAAGAAAATGGAGATATATAAACTCTCTCTCAAAAAAAAAGGTCCAGGTAGGCTGTAGCTGGAGGGAAATGTAGAATAAAGAGATTTTTACATTTAAGATGAGGACATTAATATTCTTAAAACATGTGAGTAAAAGAGAAATAATGTATAGAGTAAATGTCCTGAGAGTATACATGTGTATTAGAGGAAGAAAAAGGGAATAGGTAAATAGATGTTAAAGAGAAGGTATTAGCTAGCACCTTTATACTTCCTCAATTGCAATAGGTAGGAAGAAGAAAATGAGCGCAGACATATGTAGTTTGTTAGCAGAATATTGAGGGAGCCCTGCTTAGAGAATTGTTGGGATTTTTTCCCCCTAAGAAATAGGTAAAGTCATTTGTTGAAGAAAAATTTGACAAAGAATGTTGAGATTTGAAGCAGAATGAAGGTAGGACGTTTGAAGAAATTGGAAAGAGTTTGAAAAGGATTTGAAATTGGAAAGGATTTGAAATTGAAAAGGATTTGGGAAAATTAGTTGAACAGAGAATTGTCATAGAAGTGCTGGCAGTAATATAGTCTGTTCAAAACTGGTTATTGTATTTACAATGCAACCCATCCACCCAGTAAAATGGCTTTCTCTAGCACCTTTGTCTACTTCAATACAAAATTGAGAGTCTTTCAAGGGGCTTTGCGTAGAGTGGGGAAGGGTGTAAGCATTTGTATGTTGCTAACAACTAGTTCTCCAAAAAGAAAACAACAACAAAGATTTTCTGATTTACTTGTAATATTTGTTGATATCCACAGAATAAATACTCCATGATGGCCAATTTCAAGGTATTGGCCCGATGTCATCGAATACAGAATTGGGAGCAATAGCAAACCATTTTTACCATTTACATATGATAGATATAAATAACCTCAAAGGCATAAGTAGTAGTAAAAAGTAAAACAAAAATAAAAAAGTAAAATAATTAAGAAGTTATGAATTTTGGGTAATTAGTAGATTTACTTGATTTAAATGTAAACGTAGATAACTCAAATTTTAATTATGACTGTTTAGCAATCACTGAAAAAAACCCTTAAAATGTGAACCACCTCCAGAATACCACCAGTGGTAACTAAATAGGCAAAGAATAGCATACAGTGGTATTATGGGATGGTCCACATAATACTGTAAGAATAAAAGGAGGAACATCCAACTCATTCATAGAATAAGGCCCATCCATATAGGTTTCTTGGATTTGATGATGTTTGAGCTGACACTTGTAGAATGAGTATGATCTAACCAGATAGAAGATGAGTGATACAGTAGAAATAAAGGCTAGCATATATAAAGTCATGGAAATTTTATGTAGTTGTACTTTGGAAGTAAAATGTTCATCAGAAGCAGACAAATGAATTGTCTGCCTTCTTTAGAATATTACATAGAGTTCAAAGTACAGAGTAGCTGGCCAAACAAAACAATGTATACAAAAAAGAATATTTGTATAATGAACAACAGCATGCAACAAAATTGAACAGATTCCAGAATTCAGCTAAATTTTCGAGTATGACAGTATAGGAAATATTTGCAACACCATGCAGAAAGTGCCAAAAATATCTTAGAAATTATCACCACAGGGATATAAGATTATCAGAGAAAATGAATTGTTAGAGACTTCATTATTAACTAGTTACTAGACTGTTCATGTCATTAGGGTAAGAAAATTAACATCTATTCTAAACTTTATGATAGAGAGTGTATGTATCATCAAATAAAATCTCAAGGTTTTCTGATTTATGGATGGTGGTTAGGTTGACTTACTGCAGTTGACTACTGTGCTATATCACCTACCTATTGCAGAAAAAGGTAGAAACTTCTCTTTCAACTTTGTGTTAGATTTATCTTCTAATTTTTGTTTTGTTTTCTGTATATGCTCTTTATTCCTAGTTATAAGACATTCTTACCAAAATGTGTTCGAGCAAAGATCCAAGACTATCATATTTTGACAAGGAAGAGAATAAGGTACAGATTTCGCAGATTTATTCAGCAGTTCAGTCAATGCAAAGCTACTGCCAGAAACTTGAAACTTAAGTATCTTATAAATCTGGAGACCCTTCAGTCTGCCTTCTACACAGAGCAATTTGAAGTAAAAGAACCTGGAAGAGGTCCTTCAGGTGAGGAGATTTTTGCAACCATTATAATAACTGGAAACGGTGGAATTCAGTGGTCAAGAGGGAAACATAAAGAAAGTGAGACACTGACAGAACAGGTAATCCTTAATGATATGTTCTCGTTCTTTGTTATTTTAAGTAGAATGGCAGTAGAAGCCCAGTGATTTTAGTCATTTGAAACATTGTCTTACACTTCTCCTGATAGAAGTGGAATTTTTTAATAGTGTGAAGCCATCAGGGTTGTATCGATAGTGCTTTTCTCATTGTTCTTAAGTGGCTTTTTATATAATTTTTAATGACAATTAATAATGACATATTTTCAGAAAAGGTTTGAATTGTGTAAATGATTTTAGGGTAGTTTTTCCTTCTTTTCTCTTTCACTATTGTTGATAATAAGGAGGTACAATCATTTAAGTAAATGGAAAAGGTTAATTTAATTATTTTTAATGGTAATATATATTTGTTAATTTAATTTTTAAGGTTTGCATTGAAAGTTTAAAATTTGTTTATATCTATATTGTTCTTAGATTGTTTTAGAGATTTAGAAACTTTTTTTTTTTAAATCTTATTTGATAGCTAAATTTCCAGTTTTTTGACAATGGTTCTTATTAGTATAGAATTGGTTTGGAATGTACTATAATACACTTTGGATTCCTGGCATCCTTTAATGATCTCATTTTTAAGTCAAAGCAAGATACAGTACACTTAGGATTAGATTTTTAGGAGAAGGAGATCACATTTAATACTTACCTATTGTAATCATTAATACCTTTTATATCTTAAAGAATTTGGAATTAATGTTGTCTTCTTCATAAGTCTTGTTGAAAATGGTTCCATGACTTTTTAATTTTAAATGCTTTCAATTATAGGATTTACAGTTGTATTGTGATTTTCTTGATATTATTGATGTCAGTATTAAGCAAGCAAACCAGGAAGGCTCAAATGAAAGTAGGATTGTAACTATCCATAAGCAAGATGGTAAAAATTTGGTAAGTTGTTTTTTGTTTGGTTGGTTTTTTTTTTTTTTTTTTGGTTGTGGTCCATAATCTGAATGAATATTTAAC